GCCTTTGTGCCCATGAGCTGAATCATAGACAGAGTCTCCAGAACCTGGCATTGAGCAACTTCGTTTTGCACTCACCACATATTCTCTCTTTCTCTCTCCCTCCCCTCCCCCTCCCGCTTTCCTCTCTCTCCCTCCCCCTCTCCCCTCCCTGTCCCTGTCCCTGTGTCTCCTGGCATCTCCAGCAAGTTCTGTTGGTGAAGCTCCCCAGTGACTTCTCTAGCATTCAATAAGTTATGTCTATGTCTTGTTTAACAAGTTTAGATGCCAGTCCAGAGGTACACAGGGGCTCTTGCTTTGGCACAGTATCATGCCCTACAAAAGGTGGTTGTTCCTTGTAGTTTATTCTATATCCTTTAACATTCACTTTACTTCTTGCTAGCTACTCCACTATTGCTTCAGTTCCCTGTTGTTGCTAATAATTATTTAAACTACATTGTTCTGTTCAAATTTTCATGTGGTCTTTCTGTCCTGATGGACCTAACTGACACATACTGAAATAATATTAAAATAATCTATATTAATTAACAGTAGGAGAAAGTAAATATGACAAGTCATCTCTTTATAGAACAGATTGATTGGCGTTGGTACCATATACCTTATATATGGCTAGATATTAGATGAAAAAATATTTTCAGAATTGGAGGCTAAATTGAAAGGTGGCAAAACCATAAGCTAACTGTACATATAGTTTTGAAGACCCATTTTTAAAAATATTTGACTTGATTTCACTGAGAGTTTATTAAAATGGAAGCTGTAAATAAAGCAAGAAACAAAAATCTGGACTCAAAAGTAATTTGATGACCTTGAAAAAATTTTGCAAAATAAGAATTATGTAATGTGAACTTGTAGATTATTAATGCTAGAGTAACACTGATAGCTATCATTTAGTGAGGACTCAGAAAATCCGCAACACTTTACATTAATTTACTGGATCATCACAGCAAAACAGATGGATGGAGTTATTATCCCTATTTTACAGATGGGAAAAGAAATACTTGGGAAGGTTAGGGAACTAGCCTAAGGTGATACATATAGTAAATTTATGAGCCAAAATTTGAAATCAGATTTGCCTGTGAGCCTTGAGTCTTAACCACTCCACTCTGCTTCCAGAAAACAAAGCAAACAACAAGTTAGCTGTGACAACATACTGTTTGTTTTCTTTTATAATGTACTATACATATTTCTGAGATATTTCTGATTCAGCTGACCTATTACTTTTACTTAACCGTGTCTGAACAAACTGAAAAACACCAGTTATCAGATCCCCAGAACCGAAATGTTAACAGCATATCAGAAATGTAGCAGCCTTTATTCAGAGCTGAATTGAAGGCAGATGAAATATTAACAACAGTTCTAGCAGCACAAAATGAAATATGAGATCCTGTATCAGAAATTATTAGTAACCTGTTAAAAGAAATGCTGAAAAATGGCAGTTACCAAATTAAAACTGGGAAACAGAGCCCAAATGGGAAATTTCAAAAAGTTTGGAGGAAAATAAATGACAGATTGTCCTCTTGGCTCTTATTACTATGCCATCCTAAATCCTACTTGGCAGTGGATGATGGAGGTGAAATAAGAACTGCATCACTGCCAGTCCTGGTCCTCAGATTTGTAGTCCTAAGTGTCTGTAATGGTGTCTGGGATTGATTGGAAAAGTAGTTGGAAGTTGATAGCATTTAAGCCTCATCCAAATTGAAGAGTTTGGAGACTCTTATTATGAAAGGCTTCCTCTCATCTATGAATTGGCCCCTTTGCTCCACTTTTGGATGGCTGGCTTCCTCCATGCAGAGCTACACTAAATGTTCTACATGGGAAAGCTATTCTCCTTAAATGCCTTCAAATTTAAAGCATCTATCTGAATATGTTAGTGTTTATGACTCAAAATATGTAGCATCAAAAAGAGAAAGAGAGAGGATACAAATACAGAATACAGGGTAGTAAATGAAGGAGCTATTTTTCTGTCATTAACTGAGAGCAGAAAAATTACTATAACCAGAATTGTTGAGCATGATACAGAGTAGGGGGATGAGCTGTAGAATTTTAGTATTGGCAGAGACTACAGAGTTCATGCAGTCCTAACCTATCATTTTTCAATGAAGAGACTGTGACACAGGGAGTTAAGGGATTTGACTTGCCCAAGACACATAGTTGTTTACTGACAGTCATGCCAAAAACATTTCCCAACTCCCAGTCTGGATCTCTGTAGTTCGTCATGCCACTACCATCCTCTACTGAAAATTAACACTAACTCAGCCTGGAACATAGAAGAATTCAGCATCTGTAGGGAACAAGAGAAAAGATGTATTTAGAGGTAGAAATTAGTCTGAGGACAGAGGAAACAGATAATTCTCTGTTGTGACCTATTGGCCAAGCTTGTGCAAATCATTTTGTATTAGTTCCAATCCCATGCCAATTTATAATATAAAAGAAAAGAAAATAATTAGATTGCAATCCCCTAAGGTTTACATTTATGTGCTCAGGTTTTATTTGCTTGGAGAATTTTTCTGTATACAAAAGTTATCTGCAGGTGCAGACTGGTTTGTGGGTGGCATTGCTATTCATCCCTGTTATTTACTTGAGCCTGACTTTCTGCGGCAGTTAAATGTTCTCCAGACTTCTGGAGGTGTGGGGGCTAGGGGCATTCTCTCTATGGGGCCCTTCTAACAGGATCAGAAGTAGCTTTAAGATATAAGTAGGTATAAGGTAAGATATACACTTGTATTCTACTAACATCATGAAGCACTTGGGCCATTTGTGGGACTTTTACTCAAGCTCATATGCTAGGTGAAACAATTTTCTTTATTTTGGAAGCATAATGTTAAGAAGGCACAATAAAAAATATCTCAATAGGATTCCCTGTGAACTTACAGTACAGGTATTTTAGATCACTGACATATTTTTTATATTAGAGCAACAAGGAATGAGAGAATCAGACAACATGATGGAAACTACAGATGGAATGCTTTGCATGAAAAGCGATTATATATAAAATAGGCCTCAAGAGTGGGTAGGAGTAGAGTTGGAAAGGAGAAGTAACTGAAACAAGAGAATATAATGCTTGACCAGGTCTAGTAAAATATTCCCTGCCACAACCACTCTTCCATGAAGAGAGTGAGCCAAGAGGCCTGAATAAACTAACCCTAAGTTCAGAGTTGCCATTATTATGGGAGGCATCAGGGAGAGCACATCCGGACTTGTGTTACACAGTAATCACTGCTGGGTGTCAGCATTCATCAGCCAGATGGTCAGACCCACAATTAATCAATTAGGCTGGGATGATCAACTGGACTAAGTTTTCCCTATTGGTAAAAAGCCCTCATCATGCGGTCAAGGCCAATAGCACTTTTATCCTGTTGCTTTTGGAGAAGCTTCTAAAAATTCCTCTTTTCTTTTTTAGGCCTCTAGTTACTGGACACTGTTAAGCTCCAAGTTGCTTTGACAACATAGATACCCAAATCAAGGTTTTTCACTTAACAGATTTTCAACCTCCTCTGTCTTCAAGCATAATGTTTAATATATCAGACATAAATAAGCTTTCTAAAACAGCACTGTAACAGTGTATACTCAACTGATTTTACTACAATCTTTGTGTCAGTTCCACTCGATCCAGTACAACAACAGTGGAAGGGATTCTGGGAGCTTATAATGATGACATAATAAACAGTAATAATAATAAAATTCATTGAGTGTTCACCATGAGATAGATACTGTTGTGACAAAGATGGATAAACATTGAGTCAGTCTTTATAATACCTCAGTGAAGATGATATTGTTACATCCATTTCAAGGAAATGGAAACTGATTATAAAGTTCATTAAACATTTAATAAAGATGTGCTGAGATGATTTAGTACTCCCTGGGATCAAAACTTAATAAAATATATATTTTCTTACACATATACATTTGTGCCTCTAAGGGCTAACAATTAGGAATATATCATAGGTCTTTGTTGTTCTCTTTAAAGAACTTTAGGAAATTTTTTACTAATGTTTCCCAAATCTGTTGATCAAACTTTGTTTTTCATACCATCTGACTTTAGATTGCTTTCTCTGTTATCTCAGTGTCATCACTACAATTTGCTAATAATTCTCAGTCCCCAGTCCAGTATTCTTATCTAGATGTTTACTTTAAAGTGTGTTTTAGATACTAAGATGTTTTTTATCAGTTGGCTTATAAGGCAATTTGTTTCCTCTAAAATAAATTATCTGGCAATTATTTATTTTTTATGTTGAGCCTGTTTTTTTTTTCTTCTGTCTTCCATTCTCACTCTTTTCTCACTGTATCATGGTACATAGTAGAGGCAGAGATGTTTGAAAATCCTATTTATAGGAACTGTCACCTCCTAATAGAGATCTCTACTGACCCTATTGAATAGAAATATGTATACATTGCTATAGTTCCCTGGGTTTCACCCTTCACCATGTTGCGTGTCTTTTTTCTCAGCCTTTCAATTCCCTTGAGCTTGACTTAGGGACTGCTGCTCATTAACCATTTCATAATGGTTATACATGGGTTCTATTGATTCAAATGTGCACCTCTGAGATAATCAGACTCTCGTTTATAATTACATTATTTTATGGAAGGTGAGGCTTCTCTTGCTATCTAACAGCAATGCTTTGATTTTTTGTTTTGCTACATACTGGGGAAAGCAATACTAAAATATCAGAATGCTTTATAGGTAAACACCATTTCTTATGTCAAGTTCAGGAGCACATGGGATAAAAGATATTTCAGAAATCTTAATGAGCATCTTTTATCCAAGGCTCTACCAGTATCCTCCTTTTCAGGCTATGGTACTCTGTTTTGTTCTTGCTATATTTTCTAGGCAGCTGTTTTTTTCCATGATGCCCCCTTTCAACAGCCCTACAGTCTTCACCCAGAGCTGATGAGGCTCTTTCATTTTGACTTCAATATCCCTATGTATTGCAGAGTTGAGCCCTGCCATCTAGGCTGCCTTTTGCTTCATTTTGCTCCTGACCTAAACCCCCCTGCTATTCCAGGCCTGGCCTCCTATGACCAGAGACTGCTGACTCATCCTGGCCTGTGCCAAGCTGTGCAGTCGCTTAGTGATGTGGACAGGAGTCGAAGGACTAGAATGAGATCACTGAACTCATTTCACTTGTTGCTTACGGTACAGTCCAGCATGAGCTGGAAATGTAGGAACCTCAGCCTCCCGAGCAGAAAGAGTAAGTAGATTAAACACACCGCATCACCAAGTCCTCAACAAGCAGTGGACGGGTGGCGGGTGGGAGCTTGCTTTATCATGGCCGTGGCTAGGGCATTCTGGTTCATCAGGAGTTTTCCTTTGTCCTTTCTTCTTCCTCTCCTTCAGTCACACCCCCTTCCCCCTTTCCTAAACTTCCCTTCTGAAAATGTCCGGATGGTACAGCAATGATCTGGGCAGAAATGAAATTTTGCTAATAAGCAGCCTCTGCACAAAAGCCCTGGAACAGTCACACTGCTGAAACTTCTTAGTTTAGTCTCTACTGGGAACTCACATGAACTTCCCAACAGATTTCAAGGGGATGAAAAAACTTTTTGTTGTTGTTCTTTTTTCCTTCTTGATTCTCTTTTTCTTTCTGTTTTGAGGGAGGTAGTTTCAGGAGACATAGCTGAATTCTGGTGTGGTGTAAAGTTTTCCGTTGGGAGACAATAATGTACATTCCTCTGGCAGGACGGGATGGGTTTTTTTTTGTTTCTCTTGCTGTTGTTTATTTATAAGACATTTCCTCTCAGTTAGTGGAAGTTAGATCGTAAGAGGCTCCAGTGATTTTCCTTCCACCTCCCCTCCCTAATTTCTGTGCTTCAGCACTCTGGAACACTGTGAACTCGACAAACTAATCAGAGCAGGGAGTTTAACGGCCTGGCCTGGACACTCTCAAGAGACTGTGCTGATTCTCAGTCATCACTCCTTGGATCAGGAACCACAGTCCTGGTGAGTTGTGAGGTTCCAAAATTTGATGTGTCAAGGATTCTGTTCTTGGTGTCTCTGAGGCAGGCAGGAAATAAAGGGTGTTTTTAAAAACAAAAACATAATTTCTTAAAGAAAGCTAGCAAACAGAACGATGAAGATTTCTAGTGTGCAAAGCTGAGAGCACTCTGGACAATGGCAGAGGCTGGAGTCTATGCTCAAGAGAGGCTGCAGGCATAGGTTTTATACTGCCACACATGGCTGTCAGCCTTGACATGCCTAGCAAACATGCTTGTGGAAGAAGAGAGATAGGTGGGGGGAGGGGGAGGGAAGCAGTATTCAGGATGGTAGGAGGGGAAATGAAAGTGGGATTAATTGTATATTTGAAGTTTCCCTCTACCAACTTTTCACGTATCTCTGTTCTCAACATTTATGTTGTATTCAGAGCACCTACATGCCCAGCTAAACAGAACAAAACAAAACAAAACAAAGCAAGAACATATATATAGTATTTTTTACTGATACTATTCTAAAGATCACTTTGGTAAGAACTGGTTGCTTTTAAATGTTAGGAAACCTCTCTCCACCTGACCCTTAATAAAATATTATTTGTCATACCCTTTTCTTTGTTCATCTACATTCATGGTATTCAGCAAGAGAATGCAGTGAGAATCCTTATTTGGTCCCAGGGAAATTCATCATCCTGACATAGGAAAACTAGATGACTGTCCTGATGGTATTAAACACAAATATAGTATTGTCCTCAATATAAGAGACTCTGATTGAGTAGGCTCTGGGAGTTGTCAAAGGAATGGAATGGGAGGAGTTGTATCCTATCTGATAGGAGTCTAGCAGAGGAGCCACCAGTTAAGCTTTCACAGCCAATATGAGAATTCCGTATCATTCCTAATAACTCTTACTCTCCCTGGAAGTGAAATGTCAGGTGGAGGGTATGCTTGTCTTTTACCATCAGATCCCTAGTTAGTGCTTTTCTCCAGGTATTTAATCTTATTGTGCATTCTTGTCTCCTTTCTAATTTCAAGAATCTGGCGTGTTCCAAAATATTCTGTGGGAAAAAAACCAAAAAAATAAAAACCAAAAAAAATGGTGGTCATAAAAGCATTTGACTGTGTGGCAGCATCTGAAGTGAATTGCTCTTTGGAGAGGGGAAGGAGCCTTTGATGTCTCCAATATGGCTCTCATAGGCGAAAACTTCCCAGAACCACAACCCAGCCTAAGGGGCACTAACTCGATGTTCTTAAATATTTGAAAAGAGATGCTATTTTGTTTTACTTGTCTTTGCTATTAACACATTGCCAGTAGATTCCTTCTAGAGTTAGAAGTGCTTTAGCATTAGTTGATTTTACATTTAACCAGATGTGTAATGTATATGCCTATTGTGTGTACTCTTGTCCAAGCTGGTGCAATGAACCAATATGTAACACTGGTACTTCGCTGTGGAAAAAAAAAATCTTTGTTACTCTGGGCAGTTCAAATTCTTAATCGTAGAACTCACGAATGCTCATATATTCCAAGTGCCTTATGGAGACTAACCCCTGCTACAGCCTCATCAGGGTCTGTCAGTAACCTTTAGGACAAAGAGTCTCCCTCTTAGAGCAATTCCTTAATTTGTGAGATTTATCAAATTTCTCAGCCATTGCTGTCATAGGAAGCAGTTTTATTAGGTCTACTATGCCAAAAACTGAATGTACTCTATTCTACAATAGTAAAGCTTATCCATTTCAGTTAGCCCATGTTAGTTATGACTGCCTCACTATTGACATATAATGGTTCTTCCATTATTTCTCTTATTTTCTAAAGAAATAAGTTGGGGGAAATGGTTTAAAAATTGTTAAACATAGTGTAAAAATGGAACTAACTCTTAGGCCATGACTGCCAAGAGTTACATAGGACATTGTGCCAAACTCCTTTAAGGATAAGACTACTCAAACTCCCAGCAAAAATGTCTCTTAGTCCCAGGTAGGGCCTTATGATCAGTGTGGACTATGTTGAAGCAACCTAGTTCTCTTAACACTTTGACAAATTTTTATTCTAGAAAGCTACAACTGCCTAGAAGACATGAGGCAGAGAATAGGCAAATACCAGTATCTGAGAATACCAGTATGTTCCAAGAAATGACATTTGAAAAACCTAATCTGCCTGAGAGATTTTCCTTATGGTTACTATGATCTGAAATTCTACATGGTCGTGGAAGAATTTCATGGCTAAGTTGAAGTATATAAGAAGTCATAAACAAAACACTGTGTTTCTTTGAGTTTATATGGGTATATTGATATTACCTGATTTTTTTAAGTACCTATGTTACACAGTATACAAGCAATAATTCAATTTTCCAGTGTTCATCTGGAAAATTTAATTTCATTAAATTAATGAGAATGTATGTTTTAAGGTATGTATGTTCTTGCATGTGTGTTTTAGATGTAAGCACTTTGTATATTATATTCATTTGATTAGACAGTTATAGTTATACGCAACTGAAATTCTAAATAACAAAATTGTGATCACCCCAATAAGAAAATGTTCTTCCTCATTTGTATAGGAATGCTTTTTTATATTTTTGTAATACTCTAAGAAAGAGACATATTTTTAAAACTTAAAAAGGATTTATTTATTGTGTCATATGATTGGGTAAATATATCATCTTAGAAGTGCATATATGAGTATATATATATATGTATGTGCAGAATTACATACTTATATTCAAATATTTGAAATATGACCAAATATTAGCCATAATTATTTATGATTTCAACAAAATATTTTTAAAATTGACCAGAAGTGAAGTGCACATTTTATCACATTGAGAAGGTGGAAAATTTACACAAATATTTTTGAAGAGTATCTGCAAAAGAAAGATTTGATTAGTTGATAAGTTTGGTAATTACCTTCTTTTAATAAATAGGTCAGATTATAAACTTAAATTCTATTATATGCAACTTCAAAATGTTAATTGCTATATCTATAAAGTATTAAAGTTAAGGAAGATGTTGTTAATAATTATCTTAAAATTGAGAATATATTTAATGAATTCACTTTTGTGAGAATACATATACAAATGACCCAGTTTATTCTAGTTTCTCAGCCACTTAATTCTATATTAAATACCTTGACACAGTACTTCATTTACATATCAGCTTCAGCAACTATAATTTTCCGGATATCTTTGTAAGATAAACAAGTCATATCCTGTGAAGTCACACTTTGTCTCTGAAGCTTTCCATGATAACCCAAACTAAAAGTGACCTGACAATTATAGTATTTTAAAAATTAAAATATATCATTTATATGCTGCCTTGAATTGAAATTTGTTTATGTGTATAAAACTGCAAGTGGTTAAAGAGCAGATATTGTATTTTATGTTTATTTCTCTCTTCAAATTGCTTCATTGAATGGAGGATCACTGAATAGGTGATGAATGAATGAATGAATCTCTACATGTCAGGGCATCAACAGCAAATACATATTTATCATAATGGAAGAAACATATCCAGAAAAAGAAACCAATAGATTCTTCTTTCAGCCGCTCAAAAACCTCATATTAGATCTTTCAACTAGTTGTTATAGCCATCTCCAGCCTTTAGCTGAGGTAGATTATCTAATCCCCAAAAAGCTTAGGTAATTTCTGATGAAACATGGGGGTTTTGAATTTATGGCAGTCCATTCATTTCCTAGGACTTGTGAGGGTGACCAAATACCTAGCTTAGTTTGCTCATGTAATTTGAACTACCAGACTTACCTAAAATGTATTATATTAATGAAAAGGCCTCTCCAGGTTATAAATATTTGCTTACACCAAGTCAGTAGTTCTTCCTTTCCTCAAACTCAACATCTAAGGAACTCAGGCTGATGTCAGATGCAGAAATACATAAAGACTGGCTATAAATGCCCTGTGAACTAGACAGAGAAGAGGCAGGGCAGACAGCACAATATAGAGCAGAGGCAAGAGGACAGGCAGCCAAATCATTTGTACTATCTTAACGAGCACTAATTAAATGCCCTGTTTGAGATAAATAATAGCTGAAAATAGCCAAGCTCAATTGTTTCTGATCAATGAGTAGAGGAATTGGTAGAATTGCTTGGTGCAGCTTTTATCATTAAGCCGTAGCACACTAAGACATCTTCAAAGGAGAGGGACAAAGGAAAGTTGAGCCAGTCTGTACTGTACCATTTGCCATGTCCTCAATCCAGCACCAAAAATAGTACCCTGCTGATATAAATCAATCACATCCAGAGAATAACTTCATGTATTACAAACTAACTCTAATAAACAATAATTAAAAGAAACAAAAATATTGTGTAAACTAGGCTTTAATATCATCTGTTATCAGTGATCAATTAAGTTGACAATCCCCCAACTACTCCTGAACCAAACCAAATTATATTTCAGAGCTTCTAATACATATATAAAAGGGATATTTGTTTTTATTTCTTCATTTTCCTTGCTTACTCTCTAGTAAACTGAATTCCTAGATATAAGCAGCCAGAGGGAGAAAGAGAATTAATTCACATAATAAATAATTAACCCTTGAACAATATAAAGTTAACTCTCCAAAGACATGCCAAAAACTGAACTGTTTTTGTTGTTGAATTTGTTCTCCTTTGGGTGTTAACACATAGAGGACATTTCCATTAGCACAAACTTGGCACCATACAACCTGTTCGTCCTCAAGCTATAAATACCACACTCACCTTCCAGTTCTTTCTGGCAGGATTTGTAGTATAATGTCCTCCTGGGTAGTCATGTACAAATCACTCCGAGGGCAAAATTGTATGAGTGCCTAATCCACTTTTGAAAATGAAAGAAAAGGATCTGTTTTATGAAAAACACCAAACACAGAAAGACATAAATTGTAATAAAAAGTGTTAGCACCTTGCACCTCCTCCTAATTGCCTTCCCAGGCAAGAGGAAACAAAATAGTATAATAAATGTTAGATCATAAGCAGAGTGCAAAGAATGGACTCTGCCTTTCAATAGTGAATTGAACAAAAAAGAGCAAACTTTA